CTTTCTAGATTGTTAAAAGACATTTGTTTTGAATTTCATTCTTAGAGAAATCATGAGTTTCTTTTCTTGCTGTCAATTTTGCTTTATATATTTTATCAATTCTTTTAAAATTAAATGACACCTATTGTGTGTGTGTGTGTGTGTGTGCGCGTGTGACAGCTTAGGGAAATCTGTTCTTTCCTTCCATGAGAGTCCTGGGGACCAAACTCAGGTCCTCGGGCTTCAAAGCAAGTGCCCTTATCTGCCGAGCTATTACAATGGTCCTATGTGATCAGTTCTTAACAACAGGTAGCTTGTGTTGGGGAGACAGAGACACTTAAATTAGATAGTAGTAGAAGCACACAGGAAGTGAGAATGGTGTTTTCAGGGTATCCGGGGTGTGTGTGGGGGAATCTGAAACGTTTTTGAAGAAAGATGAAATGAAGTCATACAAACATTTCTCCGAAGAGCTGAAAGTAGAGCGAACACAAACCGGGCAGGGGTGCCGCGCGATGCGTGGAGCTCTGCCCTCCGTTATCTCTCAGAGCCAAACACGCACCTGCTCCCCCCATAGATTTGCTACTTGACCAACTCTCGGGAGTTTCTGCCAAACAAAGTGAGGCCACCGCTATAGCACGCTCTGAGATAAAAGTACTTTCAAGGCCAGAACATTTGTTTTTATCAGGAAGACTGTTTTGAAATCTGTGATACAAACCAAAGTGAGAAACATATGGCCTAAAGGCCCTAATGATGGATTCATTTCATGGATCTTCCATTTAAAAACACTGAGATAGGAAGAAGAATTATCAAAATTAATGATAAGAAGATAAAAGTTTTAATAGATACTTCACTGGTGAAGATGCAGGAAGGCTACAAGGACATGCCTCGGTGCTGAGCATCACCTGCCACTTTGGGATCACAAATTAAGAAAACAATGAGGTGAAGAGGGGGTTGACAAGGCAGGAGGTAAGAGTAGGAGAGAGTGAGCAGAAAACATTATCCCCATTCCTGAAACCGTCAAAGCACAGTTTTAATTAATAAAAGAAGATATGCCCAGCTGGGGTTCTATAGGTAGAGATTTGTGCCTCCTTAATGAATCTTTAAATCAATTGTCTAGGATTAAAAAATTATGACAAGGAAAATATTCAAATTTATTGTACAAGCTATTTGATGGAATGTCTACTGTGATTATACATGTGATTGCATGTGGAACTGAGTTATGTTATAAAATTATTTCTTGACATAATCCTTTGCCAAAATAGTATGAAATTTACTACATCAAAGCTGACTTAATGCTCTCAAGAGTATTAATGAATGTTTGAGAAATAATTTATCTCTTCATTTAGCAAAAATGAGATCAACTCTCAGGATACATCCAAGTGGAATAAAGCTTGCCATGAGGGCACATGGCTTTAATCCTGGAGGATTTGTAGAGGTGTGCAGGCAGGAGGATCAGGAATTCAAGACCAGGTTCCACTACCCAGCAAGTTCTAGACCAGGCTGGGTTAAATGAGAACTCCCTCCCCAAATCCCAAAGCAACAACAACAACAACAAAATGGTAACAGCAACAAGAACAAAACCCCTTGATATCCTCACACAAGCTATATCTAAGTATTTAGTGATTTCATTTGTAATCTTCTAAAAAAGAAAACAATTATTGTCCCTCAACTGCAAGTGAGTGATTGGGTAACTGAATGCTAGTTCACACTCAAAGGCTGCTAACAGGCTGATAGCCCAGGGACAGTGAACTCTTGAGAACTCCCAAAAGGCATATTGGCACGGGTGAATCTCAAACACACTTTTCTAAGTGAAAAAGACCAGATTCCAAAGACATCTCGCTGCACGGCACAATTTATTCTCTATGCTCTCCAGGGTGTGGGGTATTTACAAAGGGACAAAGGGGACTCTTGGGGGGTGATGAAACTTTTGTACACTGCTTATACTGATAATAATACAACTGTGTGATGTGCTGAGGGCTGTGGAACTCTGTACTGAAAAAGCGAGTCGCTAGTTGTAAATGATACCTTAACAAAAGAGGGAATAAAAAACAAGAAGCAGGAGTCTTCCATCTCATGCAACCCCAGTCTCTGACACAGAAGCATATACATCATGTTGCAGAGATGCCAAGTCACACACAGACAATACCTCAATCCCACATTTTCTCATTTTATTTTACGATTCCCTCCCTGCCCCAAACACCTCCACCCCACACCGGATACATTTGTGGCTGTCGAGTAGGATTCCCAGGACTGTTCTTTCAGTCCTGTTCCCCGGGTAGTTGTAGTTGATGAGTTCTCCACCTGCTTTGCTAAGTACTGAATCAGATGAACACATTTGGCCCTTCTCTCCCCCATCTCAAACTTCCTCCCGTATATATGGATACAAAATAACCCTGAGCAACTCAGGAAGCTTGAGTTCCAGTGGGGAAAATAACTTCAAATACTATTAAAAAGTACAGTAAGTTTACCAAAAGCACCGTGACTTGGTAGGATGAGCAGGCTCTACACATCAGGACATTTCAGAGCTGTCTAAGGACTATGTAACCATTTTGAGGCCAAATGCAAGAAACCAGGCAGACAAGGCAGCATGATTCAAATTGTGACATTTTGAAAAAGGCAAAACTATAAGACAGTGAAATGATCTGTGATTGCCAGGGGCTCTAAAGGAGGGAGACATGCTGGGTGGACTACAGCATCCTTTTAGGAGAGCAAAACTGTTCTTCTGTAAGAACTACAGTGCCAGATATCTTAGTTAGGGTTTCTATTGCCATGATGAAACATCATGACCAAAAGGCAAATTGAGGAGGAAAAGATTTATTCTGCTTACATTTCCATATTGCTGTTTACTATTAAAGAAGTCAGGACAGGAGCTCAAACAGGGCAGGAACCTGGAGGCAGGAGCTGATGCAGAAGCCACGGAGGGGTGCTGCTTACTGGCTTGTTTCCCATGGCTTTCTCAGCCGGCTTTCCTTTGGAACTCAGGACCAATAGTCCGGGGATGGCAGCACCCACAATGGGCCGGTCCCTCCCCCATCAATCACTAATTAAGGAAATGCCCTACAGCTGGATACTATGGAGGCATTTTCTCAATTGAGGTTCCCTCCCATGAGATAACTCTAACTTGTGTCAAGTTGACATAAGGCTAGCCAGCACACTGGATGTCTGTTATTCATGTTTGTCAAAAGTCATAAACAATGTGAAGAATGGGCTCTCATAGAAAGTGGACTTCAGTCATCAACCTGTGCTCATCGGCTGTAACAAAAGCACCACCCCATCCACCCCACTGCAAGAATGTTATAAACAGGTATAATTGCATGGGGGGGCAGTATCAGAGAACATATAGGAAAACTTTCTAAAACAAAAAAGTCTGCTAGTTTGAAACATCTCTGAAATGAGGCTGCATGTTAAATTGGAAGGCATTTTAGATTTGATGAAGCATCCTTTGAGGTACAGCTGTTTAAGTAAGTATAATGAGATAAAAATGTAAACTTAGTAAGTGTCATGGCATGGAGCTATGAGGTGGCCCAGCAGCTTAGGACCCTTGCTGCTAAGGCTGACAACCTGAGTTCTGTCCCCAGACCCACAAGGGGGAGGGAGAGAACTGACTCCCCTAAGTCGTCTTCTTGTTTTCACATAAGTCCCCTGGCACCCATGCACATACATACACACGCACATGTTCAAAACAAATAGGAAATAAACACAGTGCTGTATCATGATTTCATTGGTAACATTAAAAATTTATTACTATATATTTTGACACATTTTTATTTCAATGTGTGTTGGGGCCGTTGGGGGATGGTAGAACTTGAGATACTTAAAAGTCAGGCAGGCTGACACAGAAACAAAACCCACATGGTTCCCGTTTTATGAGCTGCCTACACTAGTGAGGTTTAATGAGACAGAAAGCAGCGTTGCCATCACCAGAGGCTGAGGGTTAGGCAAGACTGGGGTTAGTGTTTAATGGATACATGATTTTGAGTTTAGGACAATGGAAGTTCTGGATTCGGGTAGAGATAGTAGTTATCCATACTGTGGTATCCAATGATATTGAACTATACACTTGAAATTATATCTTTAATGTGGTATATTTATATATTTTACTATATTATTATAATTGTGGGGTGTTAATCTGTACCATGGTGTATGTTTATCAGACAACTTTGTGGCATTGGTTCCCTTTTTTTACCTTTACATGGATCCTGGAGTTGTAATATAGGCCCTTAGGCTTTCACAGCTGATCCATGTCACCTGCCCTAATATAATATATATTTTAATATGTACATGGAGAGAGAATAAAGTTTGATTTGAGACACATTAAGATTAAGATGCTTGGGCAGTTGGATCAGATAGCGACCCAAGTGTCAATAAAGATTTAGCAAGTGCCATGTTGGAACCATGAGGCCAGAGAGAATGTAGGGAAAGGGGTAGTGGTGGTCAGGATACACTTAAAGAGTGTAGTGGTGTCCAGAAGGAAAGAGAAGACAAGAGAGTATAGGGCCAAAATTAGCAACAAGTGGAAAGGGCACCTTGTAGGAGGCAGCGTTCAGTGTGCTGAAGTTTTCTGGGGGTCTGAAAGAGGTGACAACTACCAGATGCAGCCAAACGGAAGTGTTTGGTGCTTTAGCACAGGGTTTCCTTCTGATGAAAGCCAGGTTGAAGTGGGTTGGGAAGGAAGGAGTGGGTGAGGGGAACCCCTCATAACCCTTTGAAGAAGCTCTGCTCTGCACTGAGGAGTGGTGCTTTACTCCCCATGCATGCTGGGCATGCCTTGCTAGAGAAGGAATGGCGGTCTAAGCAGGAGAGAGAACTGAAGGAGGAACCTGAGTGGTGCAAGGACCTTTGTTGGAAGCGGGACTCCCCCTGTGCCTTCCAGAAGAGACTGAGATCCTGACGTGAGTGAGGTAACGATGACAAAATTACTGTTCTGGTTGATTTTTGTCAGCTTGACACAACTCAAGATGTAACTTCAGTTGAGAACATGCTGCCATTAGATTGGCCTACAGGCAAGCCTAGGGGATGTTTTCTTGATTAAGGATTCATGTGGCTGAGACCTCAGGCACATAATTGTCTCTCCGCTCTCTCTCTTCCTCCTGCAACTTGATCGAGATGCCTCTCACGGGGCCTCTCTGAATCCTCTTCATGAGATGCGTGACATAGCCGGCTATCTTGTTGCGGAGCTTCTTGCTGGGGATGATGGCGATCTCCTCGCACACGCGCTTGTTGGTGTGGAAGTCATTGCCCAGGCGCGTGTAGTACTTCTCGATGATGACCCGGGCCGCCTTCTTCACGGTCTTGGTGCGCACGCGGCCCATGTTGACGGGTCCAGCCCTAGACCAGGAGATCATTGAGGTCGATCCTGACACCAAGGAAATGCTGAAGCTTCTGGACTTCGGCAGTCTCTCCAACCTGCAGGTCACTCAGCCTACAGTTGGGATGAATTTCAAAACACCACGTGGAGCCGTTTGAGCCTGTTGTGTCATATTTTCAATAAACCTGGAAATAACCTTGAAAAAAAAAAGGATTCATGTGGGAGGGTCTAGCTCACTGGGGATAATGCCTTCCCTGGACGCATGGGCACTGAGTTGTATAAGAAAGCAGGTTGAGCACACCATGGGGGATTCAGCCAGCCAATAGTATTTCTCCATGGTCTCTGCTTCAGCTACTGTCTCTAGGTCCTGCTTTGAGTTTCTGACTTCCCTCAGTGATTTGTGACCTGAGAGCTATAAGATGAAATAAACCCTCCTTTTCCCCAAGTTACTTCTGGTCATGGCCTTTAGTGCTGCAGTAGAAACACTAACAATGGCTTCTGTGTTCTCAGTGAAGTGAAGCTGGGTCACCAGATGGTTAGGGGGTGTAAGAGACTTGAGAACACTTATGAAAGTAAAAAGAAGTCACAGTGGGGACTGAGGACAACTCCCAGGACAAGGGCAGTGGGCTGGCAGGGCAGTGCTCTGGGAAGCCAGTGACCTGAATATGCGGCGACCTTCTTAGTCCTCTGAGGATGTGAAGAGAGCCCAGGCTGAAGCCACCTATACTCGTGACTTTCAAAGTGAGTTCATGGTCCAGCAGCATCAACCTGGGAACTCAGAAAGGCAGACCACAGGGCCCCTCCCCCGCCCACTGAACCAGAAACTGTGGGTGTGAGGCCTGGTTTACTTGGTTTCTCACAAACCCTCCAGAGTTTCTGAAATCTTAGACGCACTGACTGGGGGGTTGGGGGGGGGGGGGAGAGCCAAGGACATATGCATGAGCAAGTCCAGGCAAGCATGGCTGCTGTCCTCCCAGGCAGCAGGCCTTTCCTTTCACTGATCTACCAATCCACACGGGGAATGCAGTGCCATTTAAAGGAACTCTCAAATCTCTCTAAGGAAGTGTTTAAAAAAATATGTTGAAGACATTCTTCAAATGCATCCATCTGTGTTGTCTCTGGAGTCTGAATTGGAACGTTGAGCTTTGTGTCCTGCTCTTTGTCCTTGCACACCGTGCTTTGAAAGGCCTCTCGACTGTCCTTCCTAGGGTTCTCCTTCCAGGACAGCCACAGGGATGTAGGCCCACCTTTCCGTATGGTTCAATTCCCGCTTTCAGTGCTGCTGGGGGGGGAAAAAAGGCAATGAACAGGCTGCTATCCTAGAGGAGTGCTTTCTTTCTCAGCTGAAATGGAAGCAAGGATGACTCAGAGCCGGTCCTGCTAGTGACTCACATGATGGTCTGTTTATGGGTAAGTGCTTCTCCCAGGAAGTCGACAGCCTATCCTCCTACCTGAGTCACGAGCCCTGTGGTGCTCCTGTCAAGGCAAAATTACCACTAAAACCAGGGAGATGAGCCAAAAAAGATGTGGGCTCTAGAAAACATGAGGGTTGAAGCTTAAGTTTAGGAGGTGAAATTTGTTCCTGATTTGCTGGTGGCCCTGGGCAGACTGACAAAGGGCTCAGTGCTCTTTTATGAAAACGGAGATTTTGTGTAATTAAACTATAAGTAGATTTAAGACCCATCCCAAAGGTAAACCAGGGCTCTCCTAACTGGAGATACTTTCTGGAACCAAAGGGAGAGGTCCCGGGGTGATCTAATCACTGAAGATTTCCAGGACAATCTGTATCTTGAGCAAGGCCTGGTAAATGGTGGAAGGACAGATGGGGGTCTCTAGGAGACAAGGAACAGGGGCAGGATGGGAGGAGGTCAGATTTAGTGAGCTGGGTCTTGATTGACCAGAGAGAGAGAGAGGAGTTGGCAAGTACGGTCATAGCGTTTGATTTTGGGATCCCACCCACACGTCTTTGCTGTCTCCTTTACTGACTCTGTCTTCACTCTTCTCCGTGTGTTACTGCTGCCCACCCCACCCTACCTGCCCCTGCATTTCCTCCTGTCCTCTGCTCTCCTCTGCATCATGGAGCATCAAGGGCAGGCCTTGTGTGGGCTAAGTCCTCCCTTTCCTGTTTAGTTGGTATGTGGCATCTGCTACAGAGACAGCCTGTTTACTCCCTGCTGACACATGGGTTGTGGTCAGCAAACTATCTACCAAGGCCCCCCAGTGTGGGAAGGGCCAGGATGCTGACACACACTGTGACTACATTTGTTTGTTTCACTGCAGCCAAGAGGCTCAGTGTTCTGTACGCATCCATGGCTGGGACAGTCAGCTGGGCTGCTGACATCGATGGCCCAGCCGCCTGGGCATGGCTCAGGACTCAGAACAGACCTCTGGAGTGAATACACATTGCACAGCTCTTCAGGAAGTGGGTGGCATCTCGGTAGCGAGAAGGACTGCACAGGGTGTGGGAATGTTGAACTCTATCTTAATTCCAGTGTCTATTTGTCATGAACGAGTTAGGTACATATAAGTAAAGGAGCCCTGAACAAGTATGTTTTTCCCATATGCCCTCTCTGTCTGCCTGCTTTGATTGAGTCTTTCTGTGATGTATGTGCTATGATATACCCTCCTTAGTTGTTGCTTTTTCTTTTTCATAAATTCTGAGTGATGACCTGTTCAGGCTGTAAGTGGATGAAAATGTTCTGTTTAGGCTGTAAGTGGATGAAAATTTCTGGGTTGGTGGCAGGAAGTGGGCATGCCCTTGGGAGGTTAGACAATGGTGGTGATGGGCATTTACAAGGAGGCACGACTCTTGCCTAAGACCACATTCCTAAACTCTGAGTACAAGGGTCTAAATCCACAGATTTAGAGACAAAAAGTCAGGGAACAAGCAACGCTCATGTAAACGAATAGTCTAGGTGAGGGGTTTTGAATAATCTGAGGGAGGCCTGGGATTTCCAGTCATCCAGAGCTTTTCAGGCAGCTGGTCTTCTGGCCTGGTTGCACATCAAGTATGAAGGGGAAATGTCAACAGTCCTGACCTCCTTCTGGGAGGGAGAATCCACTGTGTTTCTCTCCTGCTTCCCTTGGTAGGGGAGAAGAAACAGTCTATACCCAAGGCTGCTGCCACCTCCAGTATCGCTTGTAAGGCCTTAAAGAACCTGCCTGCCTCTGGAATCTGTTCCCATACATAAGAGAGGCATCCCTTGGAAATGTTCCTCTCTTGTTTATTATCTGCAAAGATGACTGCCAAGGTTTCCCACAACTTTGTGCATATTTGTTACATGATGGCTTGTGTTTCCTCCAAACGATGTTAGAGTCTTACCCCCAGTACCTCAAGTCTGACATTGTTTGGCATTAATTAGAAATTTTATTATTATTATTAACATTATTATTATTATTGTCATTATGTGACAGGGTTTTTCTACACATCCCTGACTGTCTTGGAACTCTCTATGATGACTAGGCTGGTCTTGAACCCACAGAGATCTGCTTGCTTCTGCCTCCTTCCTGAGTGCTGGGATTAAAGGTATGCCCTATTTTTTTTTGTTTTGTTTTTTGTTCTTTTGGTTTTTTGAGACAGGGTTTCTCTGTATGACTTTGGAGCCTGTCCTGTAACTTGCTCTGTAGACCAGGCTGGTCTCGAACTTACAGAGATCTGCCTGCCTCTGCCTCCCAAGTGCTGGATGTGCGCCCCCACCGTCCAGCTGGTATGCCCTATTCTTTACAGTTGTAATCAAACACAAAAAATGAAGTTATTATGACCATTTATAGATGATAACCAAGACCAAGGTGATGCATCTAGAAGTCACAAAATGGCAAAGACTGCCTGCACTTTCCAGAAGCCAGGAGAGAAGTACGGAACAGATTCTCCCTCCTAGAGGCACCAATCTTGCTGGCATCCTGATTGTGAACTGCCTACCACACCTCTGAGACAGTGAGTTCTGCTATTTAAGCCATTTAATCTGTGCTATTCATAATGGGCACCCTAGAGAACGCTCAGCTCTACTACACACGGTGGACTGGGCTTATCTTTTTTTCTTTTCTTTTTGAGATTAGATATAATTACAGCATTTCTCCCCTTCTTTCCCCACCCATTACTTTTCTCTTGAGTCCTGGCTGGCTTTCTGACTTCTGGCAGAGAGTGCAGGAGACGTGATTACTTGCCAGACCTGGGCCAGAGTCTTATGATGCATAGCAGCTTCCGTGTAGACCCTCTGAGAAACCAGCTGCCATGCTGTTGTAAGGAAGTCTAGACTGTTCTTCTGGGGATGTCCTGTGTGGCTGCAGCTGGATTTCCATTTGTGTGTCTAATTGATACCATATGGCAGCATAACTGTCCAGTTAACTCAAAGAATTGTGAGAAATAAGAGTTTTGGTTAAGCTACTAGGTTTGGGGGAGTTATGCAGTAATAGACATCTGAAAGTGAGTTTTTATTTATTGTGGCAAGCACTCCATTACCCCTCCCACTGTTGTCCTAAAACCCCCAGTTCTACCTTGCTACCCTTCTTCTGAATAGATTCTGAGTTTTCTGGCTCTCCATATTACTTCCTTTTATGTAGCAAGATGTTTTTTTCTCTTTTTGGGGGCCCACCACCCAGGTCCCAAATGAATCACACATGGAGGCTTATTACTTGTGAATTTCCAACCTTACCTTGGTTTGTTTCTTGCCAGCTTTTCTTAAATTAACCTGACTAGCTTTTGCCTCTGGGATTTTCCTGTTCTCTTACTTCTGTAAATCCTACTCTTATTCTGTGGACTGCTGTGCAGCTGAATGACGGGGTGCTGGCCCCTGACATCCTCATCTCCTTGTTCTCTTGCTCCCTTTGGTTCTCCTACTTGTACCCTCTGCCTGCCAGCCCATGGTCCTGCCTCTCTATTGGCCATTCAGCTCTCTAGTAGGACCATCAGGTGTTTTAGACAGGCAAAGAATCACAGCTTTACAGAGTTAAACAAATGCAGCATAAACAAAAGCCATCATCTAAAATAATATTCTACCACAGTTTTACATACAAATTTTTAGTGATTTCCCCTCATTGGCAGGGCCTGCATTGTGTGATTATCTTTGTAGATGGATTTTTCTTTGGGATGTCAGCTCACAAAAAATGACATGGAGACATTAATTATGAAAGCTTGGCCTAACTTAGGCTGGTTTCTAACTAGTTTTTATAACTTAAATTAATGCATTTATACTAATCTACATTCTTTCAGGTGGCGGTACGGCTCTTCCATTTTACACCTCCTGTTTCTTCTCCGCATCTCCTGGAGTATCCACCCTTCTTCCCAGAGTCCTCTCTATCCCTGGAAGTCCCACCGAGCCTTTCTAGTTATTGGCTGATGAACTTTTTACTACACCAATCACAGCAATACATTTTCACACACTGCAAATATCCCACATTTCCCCTTTCTGTCTAATAAAAAGGAAAGATTTTAATTCTAATTATATTATAATTTTATACAATAAGTAAAATTACATACAATAAGAACAATTATCAAGTAAGAATTACATTAGCAATGCCCAATCCATTTGTATTTGTCAAATTTGGAGAGATTATTCTATTATCTATCTCTATCTTAATGAGTCCAAAGTTTTATACCTAAATCGTTTTCCATCATAATTTGTATTACCATCCGAAAAATATCTTTTTAGACCTAAAAACATCTTCTTAGATAAACTACTTAAACCTTTATGTTGCTCAGCCTTATAAAGTTCACATCTCTTATGTAAGTTTCTTATTTGAATTTGATAACAAGGAAAACTGTAAAACTATAACTATCTAGTTTTTAGCTCCATAAAAGACCCAAGAAGGATACAATATTAATTGAGTAAACAGGAAGTGTAGAACTCCCTAAACTATAGAAATGATATTGACATCTGGCTTCCTGGACAGTCTTTCAAGGTTCCTCTGCAACGTTGGGGCATCCATCTTTGGCCTACAGGCCTCGAATATTTGACAAACTTTTCTGTGAAGCAGGAATTTTGAAGAACTGTCCTACCTTGTCTTGGCAAAGTTCGGCAGCTGCCCTCTTTCGTATCCTCCTTGTCCAGTTTGAGCAGTATACTGTGAGCAGTCGGGGCAAGGGTAGTTTTTTTTTTGCCCAGTGTATAACTTTGACACAATAAAAGCAAACTCCATACAGAAGTTCTTTGATGTCCACCACTCTTTTTTGAAGCAAAATAGTGCTGCCAGGAGCAGACATGTCTCACTGTCACAAAAAGCCTTATGTTATTAAAACATTTAAAATGCCATAATCTGTCTGTCTTTGAAGTGTTTGGAGACCATCTATCTATCTAAAATATATTTCTACATGACCTTGAAAACATACCTAGCATGACTACAAGTTTGATTGTTATAGATGACTAACTACTAACCCCCTTTTTCTTAATTATCCTATGAGGTTTATAATCATAGCTTTTAAGGACTAGAACTTTGCATTACATTTTTAAATGAGCTGCATATGTACAATACCTTAAACAAGACTAGAAACATATATAATACAACAAAGTAACCTTAAATTTGTATCACTATATAAAAAATCCATACCAAGGTAAAATATTTGAGACTAGCGGTTGTTCAAAAGTAGACTCAACAATCCACCCTTCTATCCCATCATTCTATGTCCCCCCCTTTCCCTTCAGAAGGAGATCCCTGAACCTAATCTCCTTTGTTTAGCTTTTTTCCTGACCATGACCTGCAACAACTTGTATACAACCCCTGTAAATGTGGATGAGCATCCATAATCTATTGGATGACCAAAAACAACCCATTCCCACCTGTTGGGAATGTGGGTGTGTGTTCTCTAGACTGCTTGTAGTCAAGATTTTCAGGAGGTCTCCCCCAAGCAAATATTATCTTCATTAATTTGGAAAAGAACCATAACGTTTTGTTTCCTGTGGAAACAAAGGCATAACCTCTCCCCAAATGCAACATATTTTCTGACTTCCATTTTGAAGTTAAGACATTCTTAACTTAAATATATAGGTAGGTTTAATTGAGCAGTTTCATAATCCAATGTCTCTCAGCAGCTATTGTTTTTTTGTACATTAGCATTTAAAAAATTCAAAATCAACAAAGTATCATACAGGAACGAGACACCTTGTGTATTTCCCATCTTTATATAGCTTATTTTTTATATTTATCTTTTCTTTAAAGACTTTACTTATTATTTTTAAACTATTTTTTCTGTGACTATCTATACCCATTTTTTTTCTTTCTTTAACATCTAAGCACATTAAAGCACACTGTACCTTTTTTAGAGGTTTTCTGTGTCTGGACCTGGCTTTACTAACCACCTGCAGGGTTCTCTGACTGCATGAGACAAATCTTAAACTACCATGTCAGCTGCCACATAACTCTGCTTAGCGCATGGCAATGCACATGGGTTTGGCCCAGACCGTAGGCAGTGGCCAGTATGTGCCTCTGTATGTGGAGCCCTGGCTTTCCTGGGAGACGGCAGGATGAGGAAGCCATGTCCAGCTCCTTGTCTAGAATTTTTCTTAGCTTTCTCAGGCCCCATGTTTGGGTATTTGAACCTCCAAATTGGATGCCACATGCAGACAGGTTTTTCTTTGGGCCACAAGTTCACATACACACACACACAAAATGACATGGAGGCTTATTAACTGTGAAAGCTTGACCTTAGTTTAGGCCTGTTTTTAACTGGCTCTTATAAGTTAACACCTTTATGTTAGCCCACGTCCTATCAGGTGGCGTCACCTCTCTTCCATCTTGCACCTCCCGTTTCCTCTCTGTGACCCCTGGTGTCTCTGCCCTTCCTCTTCCCAGAGCCCCCTCTGTCTCCAGAAGTCCTGCCTAACCTTTCTAGCTATTGACTGTTCGTCTTTTTATTACACCAATCACAGCAATACATTTCCACACAGTGTACAAATATCTCACAACACATCTTAGCTGCAGAGAAGCCTGGGAAAGAGGAGCTCTGGCTTTGAAGTAGGGATGTGGAGAAGGATCTGTGGCTTGGAAAGTTCCTCAAACATAGAAAAATATTCCAAAGTGCTGGCACCTGATGCCTCGGTCCTCTGGCTGGGGTCCCTTTTATTTTACCCAGATAGAAATCATGGGTGAGCGTGGGAGGTAGGTGGTGCCCTGTGGTGTTACAGCCCAGGGCATTTGGGACCATCAGCTTTGTAAGTATTGCGATGTCTATTCCTGGCTGTCAACTTGACTGCATCTGGAATTAACTACAACTCCAAAGCGGAGGGTACACCTGCGAGTATGAAGTGTGAATGTCTGCTTCTAATCTGGATGTTTAAGGTGGGAAGACACACCTTAATCCAGATCTTTAATTCAGATCTAATCTGGGCCGCACTTTTTGCTGGAAGTCTATGTAATATGTAAGGGCATGGAAGAGGGAAGCTTTTACTCCCTGACTACTTGCCCTCCCTCTTGCTGGCAAGTCCATTTTTTTCACTGGCATTGGAGCCTGCTTCTTCCGGATTCCAGTGTATACTGAAGACCAGCAGAGATGTCCAGCCTTGTGGACTGGGCAACTACTGGTTTCTTGGACTTTCTGTTCATATCCAGCCATTGTTGGATTAGCTGGATTATAGTCTGCAAGTTATTCTAATAAATGAGAGCGAGCGAGAGGGAGGGAGGGAGGGAGAGAGAGAATTCATTCTTTAACTCTTTTTACTCTAGAGAATCCTGACAAATGCAAGTATACAGCTTGTATTGTATAACTAATACAAGTATGTAGTATAGTCGGGATTTCCTAGCCCTTAACAGCAGAAGGTATCACAGCTTCTGAGCCTGGGGCGTCCTAAAACCATTGGCTCTAACACCAGACAGCCCTCTAGAAGCCTTCGGTGACCAGGGCTTGCAGTTTCTCTTCCCGTGCTCCTTACAGCCTTCTATGCATCAGCTTTCCATTCTGTCCACTCTTTTCATACCCCTCGCTTTTGCTCTGGCCAATTTCTGTAACTGTTAATGTGTCTCTCCATCAGCTGTCAAGCAGCTGGCTGTCTGGTTCACTCTGCAGCTTGGCCTGCTCATTGCTGAGCTGTTGCTGCTGCTACCTCTGCTACTGCAATGTTTCTGCCAACACTGCTTCCTGCTGTCTCTACTGCTTCTTTCAGTACCATTAAAAGTAGATAAAGCCACTTGAGAGAAGCCTCTTATTGAGCTTAATGTTGCATCACCGGTGGAGGCAGCACAGGAGGGTGTCTTTCAGATGATGCATCAAGAACCAAATCTGTCTAGCTAGGAGACGAGCCTTTGGACCAATCACAGCATATATGTGCACCAATGATAGCACACCTAACATACAAATGGCTATTTGTGTTTGCAGGTTTAGAATAGGTTGTGGTAGTCCCTCTGCTAGGCCACTAGGGGAAGTGTGTTCCCTCTGTCCTGGGTGGAGATGGTTGTGGGATCATCTGAGTTCATTTGAGCTTCAGATAGCAAAGAATCTGCTACAAAGTGAAACAGTCTTGCCTGACTTTGTGCCTTCAGGAGCCAGAAAAAAACAGGGCAATCTTTGTGTCCATGGAGTGTTCCAAACAGCTGCAACTGGCCTAAGGGTAGTTCACTTGGATGTTTGATTGCCAGTCTTTTGCTCAAAGAAAGCAAGGCAGAAAGAATCCAATAGAGATAGAATCCAGTAGCTGGTAATTAGGGAGCAAAATCTCTCCATTCCCCAGCATCTTTGCTTGCTTACTGTCAAGAACATAAATATCAGTAATACCTTCAATAAGAACCTATAAACTTTTTATTAATAGTGATTTTTTTAAAGACAGGGTTTCTCTGTGTAGCTCTAGCTGCCTTGGAACTAGCTCTGTAGACCAAACTGGCCTCGAATTCAGAGATCTGCCTGCCTCTGCCTCCAGAGCACTGGGATTAAAGGTATGTGCTACCATGTCCCCCTAGTAGTAGCAAGTTTTAAACAGAGTTTTAACAGTATTTAATCCTTGCCCAGTGCCCCAGGAATAGATGGATCTTTCTTATCTGTGTCAGTTGGAACATGTGTATATTTAATGACTCTTGGAGGGGAACTTATGGCATGCTTGGCACACATAGCTCTGGGCTTGTTCACCTTCTGGTAGTAAACAGGGCCCTGTAATTCTTCTTCTTCTTCAATCTCTATCCATATCACTTAGACTAGATGGGTTAACTCTGGGCATCACCTCAGGGATTGCCTTGGGATGGCATATGAACCAGTCAGAGCCAACTATTTTTACTGAAAGAAAAGAGGGTGTGAGGAAGGAGCCTAGAGTTTCTGACAACATGTTCTCACTGTAAGGGGCAGTTAGGGATAGGAAGACCAAGTCTGGATTTTTATTTATCTATTTTTTGAGCCTTTGCTTACCTGAGTCAGTTATACTGCTGGGCTTGTCTGTTACACAAGTAACTAAACCCCCTGTTTATTTTCTCAAAAGCCATTAAAGTAGTTTCCTACTCAAAGAGACCAGATTAATATTTTTATTTAGTAAACTCTTTGGGGCAGGTACTATTTACTAAGCCCATTTTACAGCTGAGAGAACCGAAACAAGAAGATACTAAATGACATGCCTAAGACCAAATAACTACACAGAGGCAGAATTCACCCGAGGGCTTGAGCCCTTAAAGCCATCCTGAATCAGTCTACTCTTTGGAGGGGGAAGGAGTCACGGAGGAAAGTGTGAAGTCTACCCCAGGAGGATGTGGTGCTTAAAAGAGGGGTGGGAAGAGGGACTTCAAGGTTGGTCAATGACAAGACCTTTTGAGCAAGAAGAAACTTCACATATGAAATTGATTTGCCCCAATTGAAGTTGGTTCCTAGGTGGCTCCCTC